ATATTCCGTATAAAATGGCATTCGCATATAGTAAAATGCCCCTTGATTCAACTATGTGTTAAACAGAGTACTTGAACGATACGCAAACAAATTTTCATTTGGAATCGTCTACGCATTTCCATCAATGAACTAGTTATATGATGGATATGGCAGTTTTCCGTGAAATTAATTCATAACTCAATAAAATGACTGTCTGTTTCATTGAATTCCAAATGTTACTCGATGAAATTTCAACAAGTTTCATTGAGTTATATGATATTCAAGGATAGTTAAGCATTTATATTCAATTATTCTGAATAAGAGCAATCGCATTAAATTTCTATTATGAAGCTCATTTTACATGCGGCTGTTTGCAGTTGAGCAAATTTCCCCTTATTTAAGAGAGAAATTTTAAGAGATTTATAATGAATTTTGACACTCTATTTATTATTTAACAATGAAACACTGACAACCAAGAAGTGAAGAACGATACAATATAAGTAAACAAATCTCAAATTAGAACATCAATTGCATTTTTAATTACATCAACTGGATGTTATGTAAACATTAATTCTTAGTGGTTTACTCGAAACCACTTTAATGATGTTTTTTTATAAAAAAAATTCCGAATTTAATCAATTCGTATCAAATTTGATAGCTGAGTGATGTTTATTGATTTCAATTCAAAAAAAGCATATCTCATCGGTCGGCTGTGCATCTATTTAATAAACACGCATCAGATATGCATTGCCATTTAGTTCCGGTAAGTTATTTAAGAACTATATTTTAAGCTGGATCTATGAAAAATAACAATAAATGATTCAATTTTATCAACACTTTGTCAATTTGACAATGAATGAATGAAACGCGCCAATTCAAAAATGTATATTTGTATCCATTGTAAAAGAAATTCATCAAATTGCACAAATGTACGTCTTTTTTCTCGTCTACATCAATGCACAGCCTCTGTATTTTTTCTCAAAATCTGAAGGTGGTTCATTTGGTACACATCCAATTATACAACTTTGCTTGGCTGGAACATCTGGTATCGTTTGCGAATGATCGGTTAGCTCTTGTGGCTCTTCTGCTTCCAACCCGGCTGATTCAGATGGATTCAAATATACTGGTGGCGGGGAACCTACCTATTTTAATACACATGGAATTAACTTCACATTTCTCAAGAAATAAAACATATTACCATTTCATTCTCATAATATTCGGATGTTTCACGAGTCGATTCGATTTTTAAACGATTGATTTCATCATAACTGTCGTTGGACACATCTGAATCACTGCTATTTCGAATTAATCTTCTTGATGAAATTTTCTTTTTACTGATTTGGGGTTTTGGGCGTTTTATTTTTAAATGCTCTTCCTTGAATAAAAACAATTTGAAGGTTTTACACAGAAAATTTAATTTTGCAATAGATTTTAAAACTTACATATTTTTCAAGAGCCCTCTTTGCAGCAGCACGAACGGGAAATTTTTTTAAGTGACAAGCCCTGCAGTCGATTGAATTTTTCATGTTCGAAAACAAAAAAAAACACTTAACTACTTGCTTTGCTTGGGTAAATTTGATTTTTTTTTTTTGAAAATGATTAGATAGCCAAAGGTAACTTCTCTAAAAAAAATTGAGCACAATAAAATTTCATTCTAAATATTAAAAATATATATGATCAGGTATTGATGAACGCACTGAATTTCCTCATCAACTGTGCCTGCGTTGGCTAAATTCTGGAAATTAAGTATTAAAATGCTGTTGAGCAACACATTCAGAGTCTCTAATGAAAGTTGAGTAAATCGAAAGAAGAAGTTTCAGGGAGATCTACAATCGTTTTGAGATTGTAAGTGGCATCAAGGATTACATTTAAACCAGATACCGTTTTTCACAGCACTATATGCGAGCAGCGCTCAGAGGAGGCACTGAAGAGCAAAGCTCCTCCTCAGTGAAAACATATATGTATTCAAATTAACATATATTTTTATAAATATACACAGGGGCCGGAAAAACTATGTAATTTACATATGAACGAGTTAGCCTGAAACATGTGCTTCTTCTTCACAAACAATACATACACACAAACTCACAAACATCACAGGTATACGCCATAACAGCACAATGCTGAGTGCAAACACAAATACATGCGCGTGCTACTCAGCTTAGTTTCTGTGATGAATACTTATTGACTTCTGCTGTACATGTGATGCTTGTGTATGTATTGTTTTTGAAGAAGAAGCACATGTTTGAGTTTCACTCCATGAATATACATATTTGCTCATGAAATTGATAAACGACTTACAATTGCTTGTAATTAAAAGTTTTATACAATATTCATGGGAAGCATTCATACACAATTATCCTGAGAAGGTGCAATCGCATTAAATTTCAACTATAAAGCTTGTTTTACATGTAGTTGTTTGCAGCTGAGCAAATTTTCAGAAGAGGTTGAAAAATAGGATACTCCACTTGTACTAAAATATGTGTTTCGCTCCACTTTTCTACATTCCCCTTTATTTATTCACACCGTTCAAATATTTGTACTAAAATCCCAGCTTCCGCGTCGAAAGCTCTCCACCGACATATTTCGAAATGGTTGAAACCTTGACTAGCTACAAATTCAAATGTATTAGCAATCGTTATTCCAACCGTTTTCAAATGCATTGTTCGTTATATCAAATGAAACAGCATGATTTCTCTTTGTTACTTAATGGTTTTATTTGTTTTCTGCATTTGGGAAATCAATAATCATTTTACAATGCAATATATCTCATAATGGTTACTTATTGCATAATTCATGCAATAAACGTTCAAGCTGTTGTGTATTTTGTTGCGACAATCGACTACATTGCCATTTTCTAGCCGATAAATTCAAAATCATTGGTTACAGTCGCTTAATAGGGACGCAAGTCTAAACAGTGCAATTTATGTGTGTATTTTGTATTGTTAAGTAAATTGTACAAAAGGGCAGAGGCTTTGATAGTTTCATCAAAAAGAGTTCACTGTAGTATCTAGTAGTTTACATATATAGATATTTGTTTTTGTCAGATATGTTATGATTTTTATTTTTGCTTTATAACTAAATTGAAAAGATCGATAATAATACGACAGAAATAGATCATCCACCTCTTACCCGTATGGAAAAAAGTGACTGACTGACTGGTTAGGTTGAAATCGACTGAAATTGAATTTTGTTAACTGAAGTTGTCTACCCTGTCGACTTAAGTCGTTTATGTATGTCATTTTAAACAGATGACTAATTTGGGACGTTTTTGTCTATATAGTCAACTGCGATTGAAGTTGAATTAAGTTGTATTTTTCTCTACTAATATTGACTGAAAAATCAGCCAAATCAACTTAAAACAACTTCAATCTCAGTTGGCTTTAGCCAAAAACGTGCCAAATTAGTTTATTGACTAGTCAGTCAGTAATTTTCCACAAGGGTAGTGCATAATTATCAATTTTGATGTGTTCATTGAATATATGAATCGTTTGACACTTGAAAGCTTTTTACGCGGAGGAAGTCAAACATCCACATAAAGCTGTTTTTATTGTAATACATAAATTATTGTTGAACTATGTAGTTTTGTCACCTCTAAAATTTCATATCTGAAATAGAAATCAACTAAAACAAATAATGAGATAAATGAACTTTTAACCTAGTTTTAAAAATATATCGAATTTATCTCAGTTCTTTGAATTTTTTATATCTTTTTTTCTCTTCAATTTAACTTTATGTGTTATTGTGTTAATTAAAAAAAAATGAATAGAGTGCTGCTGTCGCAACATGTCTGCATGAATTGCACATTCATTTAGTTGCACTCAATAATTAACACGTTATGATCAGATTCAACGGAATTTATTGTAAGCACGACAATTTCTGGAAATATACACAGTTATAATTAAATTTTCATTTTATTTTCCTATTTACAATGGTTTGTTTGTCATATGGTTTTTTTGTGTGTTGGTTTAGTTTAATTCGATTGTTTATTATACTAAATATAGCTTAGCACATACGTTCTCTCTACATCAGTTCCTATGTTAAATTAACAGGTATTAACAATATGCTCTCTATTATACTATATATTTTTTTGCATCTATGGAATTAATTTTTCACATGTTCAAGAAGAAAAAACAACAACAACGCATTTCAATTGTTGACATTGTTGAATGCGGTCCAGTTTTTTATTTATTAAATATTTATTCATCATACAGCTACGGGCGTTTACAACTGCAATCGTGTGGCGCTTTTATTTTGCATTAGTGCATTGGATATTTTGAATTGATGGTGATATCTAAATGACGTTCAATGAATTCATTGATTGGGTTTAGTTGTTGTTTTTTTGTACACCGCAAATTTCCGATTCAATAATTCATACCAATCGAAAGCGACATTATTCATTGATATCAAAGTGATGATGTGGTTGTCCGAACCATCGATAAAAGCGTCGTCGATAATGTTGACACAAATACCATCGTTTCCACTGATATCGAACACATTCGCAATGCGTTTGATGACATTACGATGCTATGACCATTTCGTTCATCACGCATTAAATCTGCAATTACGAAACAAGAAATTAATATCAAAACATTCCATACAAATATTCATTTGGGCCAACGAATCAATTTATGACTACATAAATATGCCATTGTGTTTATTGCGTATTCAATACATAGTTTTTTCGGTCAAATTTTCATGACGTTGTTGATGTTTCGTTGACAAATTTTATTTGAACAATTAGCGATAATTTAAACGATATTTTTTTTGTTAAACTTCAAAGCAATTAAGAGTTTTTCAAATATATTTCGGCCAAAGAGAAAATAGAAAAGCTTTTCACTATTTAAAACGTGTAATTTACACATATTCCGAATATATCGAAGAAAATTGACTGAAACCATCTCGATTAATGCAAAAGTCGGGATTTTGTTCGAACGAACGTGAAATTCGGGAGCTCTCGAATAAATCAAAAGAGATGGAGTTCGTCGTTTTTAAAAAGTTATCGCGTACTTCCCTGCAACCTATTTGGGAAGGTTCCAAAATAAGCCCTGTAAGGTGTTTTTATGTGACTTTCCCGCATTGACCATTTAGGCTTTTCTGCTCAGCTTTATATGAATGAAAAGATGGGACTTCAAGGAAATATTATATGGTACGTGGCATTTACATAATAAACAAAACTAACAGAATATTTTTATTCTAAATCAAAATTAAGATTTCCAAAGTTTTATGGTGATCATTTGAAGTATAAATGTGAAAATCTGGAACAAATTTTGTCTACCAAATCTGTCTGAAATATGTAAATAATTGACATTTACTGAAATATTTACGATTTATATTTTCAATTAAATACAGATTAGATCAATCCATCAATTAGAGGCATAAATTTGCGGAAATTTGTTTGACAATCTGATTGAAATTGGGTCACGATGGTGTAAATGTTGTAATATTTGCCAAGACCAATCAAATATATAAACAATGGTATTGCATTGAAGATTAAACATTTCCTTCGGAGACAATGCACATTTATAAATATAGATGACTTTGCAAAAGCATAGTCAAATCTCATATATATGTGATTTCATGTGATTGTACAAATGATGATTATACGGGCAATTGGACAATACACAACTGTTTTATCATGTTCCGAAACTATTTATATGTACATCAAACAGTGGAAACTATTTTGACCACATTTTCAAATGAATCATTTCCACCATATAATATGTTTTAACACACGTCAAGAGATAGAGACAGAGAGAGTCCGTTTGGATAGTTAGAGGGGAGGTTTTTGAGAGTGCATCACATGCCAAAACCGAGCTTATTTCGTTGAGTTCGTTAACAATTTAGCACAATTTCCAGAGAATAGATGATATTATGTTGCGATGAATGTGAAATGTGTACTATGTACAGTTGCTTATAAATGAATGAGTGCTGTGCGTGTGCTCAGCTATTTCAAGCATCAATAGCTCTCGGGTTTTGGTATGGTGCATGTGGTGTTGATAAAATTGAAAATATATGTATTCTGCACGAAATATCATGCTAATTATTTGATGGTAAATGACACCATTGAATGCTTGAAACAAACACCAACACTGACTATGTTGAACAGATAATTTGCAGTTGCAATCACGGCAGGTGATCATACCAACGAGTTAAAAGTCAATCTTCTTGTGGATATGAATGGAAAATATTGCACTCGCATTGGAAATTCCATATAATGTAACAAATAATTTATGAAATAAAAATGTCCATCCAACATGAGTTTTTTTATTTTCAAATTTCATCGCGCATATATAAATGTTTTCACTAGAAATCTTTCCAATTAATAAAACAATGAAATTTCATTTTTTTTGGGTGACAAGAATAATAAATCAACGACTGATTCGCAACGGTCAAAATAGTAATAACGGCCAAAGTTGATCGATGAACAATGAACATATATGTACATTGGCCGAAAATCGAGCGTGTAAACCTCATTTCTCCAAAGAATTAACAAACTATACGTATAATTTTCTAGCGATTATTTTTCAATTTACGAGAACCACCCCTCCCAGAGAGAGTCGATTGTGTAATTATTTGTTATTATAATTATTGGGTAGAGTTCTCTCTACTAATAATACGAAACGGAACAGTTTTCAAGTGAATAGCGAGAAATCAAATGAATTTCAATAAAAGGTGGAACAGAAACTGAATTGGTCTCTGGTTTCATGGTATCAACAATAGTTCACGTCAAATTGAATTTCAATAGCTTCATTGTTCGCATTGTCGAACAAAAAAGCAAATAACTTACCTTTTGCATTTTCGGGGTCATCATCAGCAATATCGTTAGACTCATAATTATTATTTCCTTTGCGAGCTTTCCCTGTATCGAAAAAAAGGAGTTGCGTCTTTATATAATAAAATTAACGATCAACTACCAACGGGAGCACACTCACAAAATTACATGGCCGAAAAAAAACAAAGGAATCTGATTATATCACCAATCATGGAAAGAAGTGATTAGAAAATAATCAGATAGAAAGAGAATAAAAGAAGCGATAGAGAAAAAAGGGCACCAGCAAACTATGAAAAAAAACTAGTAAAATCATGAAAATAATTTTGACAACTATGCAATAGTGGATTTCTTGTCGCATATAAAATTGAGAGTACAAAATAAATGGCAAAACCAATTTGTAAAACGTACCTCTGTACGGTTTCTCCGGTGTGTCAATCGAATTTATAGTATTTTTCGGAATTTCTAAAAATAAACGCAAACGAAAATACAAAAATTCATTCCTTATTTAACTTGAAAAACTATATTTATAACCATGGAAATGAAAATAAAATGGAAACGCGTTCAAATATCGCTAACTATTTCTGACAATTTTTGGATGATATTTGACACAGAATACAAATAATAAATTGCAAACATGAATTTGGTGATTTTTTTTTAAAGTATAACAAGAAGCGATGCAACATATTCATTTCTAGTGTAGCTAGATCGATTTAACTTACTGTAGAGTTTAATTGTGCTGTCCGTTTCGCCGAGGGAATTCTTTGCTACACATTTGTACGAACCTGATTCAGTTTAAATAATTTTTTTATAAATAGATTTATATAGATGGAAAATCGCATTTTTACGAACCAAAGTCGTTTGGACCAATCGCTTTGATGCGAAGCGTCATGTCTATTTTATACGTACTCTCATTGAGTATCGATTCAAAATTTCCACCTAATCAATAAAAGAAATGAGACATTATTTTACTAAATCCAATTATTTCAAGTGCATTTTCGCTTGAAAAACACTCCACTTCTAAAAGTTGCAATTGAAGAAAATCGTTCATACAAATAAACTTACGCAGATAGAATGGTAATAACTTATATTATTTCATAGAATTATGATTGTCTATGGGAAAATCAGTGATTGTACTCATTTAATAGTTTGAATTCGAAAATTAATTCAATTGTTTTCAATTCATATTTAATGACTTACTTCGGAAAATCACATCAATTCACAATTGAAAAGTTTGAAGATGTGCATTCTACTCAGCAACAAGAGCAAGAGATATCTGGTTTATGTTTTGTGCAGTATATAAGTGTGAAACTTTGGCTTCGAACATTTTCGCTCCATTTAAATGAATCGTGAATAGACGTCTTTTCGCCACACTCATGACACTTCACACTTAGTTTATGTGTCGGTGGTGTGGTGTGCCATTGACGAAAATTCACATACACACACACATTCACATTTTTGGTTGGTAAGACATATCTAATGAAAGCATTTCAATGTTTCTATAGAGCGTAAGTTGAGAGATGAAAACAGCGATAGAGAGCATTTAGTAGTTTCTTTATGTTTGAAGTGTCATAATTTTCGCCACTTCAAGTGGTTAAATGTGAGTCGTTAGTTCATCAAATTTGGTGAATGGCAAATGCGCGTTGCAAAAATATATAATTAAATTCACGATGATCTGGCATCAGAAGAGCACTAAGGGGTCCATCATTTAACTGTAATTGATGTAATCTATTTGTGATGCCATGAAGCTATCAAAACACGACAATGAAGGAATGTGCGAAAATTTATTGTGCACAACGAGAGAAAATCAGATCTCTATTCGAGATTATCTTCAAGAATATAAATACACTTCGTTATATTCTTAATTCATAATAATTCAACGATATCATGGTGGGCGGGTGTGCGGATTATAATAATTCTCTCATGAGGGTATTTCTTTCATCATTTTCATCATTTTCATCATGTGAAATATTACGTTAATGTGTTCGTGATTTGTGTATACTTTATTTTAATGAATTGCAATTTATGCATTCTTATCGATTGAAAAGGGAATGAATTTGATTTCAATACAAATTTGCGCGTGCAAAAAAACGCATCAGAACAAACAAATAACGGCTCTTATGGAATCGAATTAAATCACGATTTCCATCTGTATATATTTTCCAATCGTTTTCTCTATATCGCTTCGGACGTCAATTGTTAGTATGATCTATTGTTGTTTATCGTTAAGTGCAGCAAACGCAACATCAGATTTATAACTGTATGGTAATTATTCATAACCTGAGCATTAACCCTGCGTGTACTTTGGTGGATTCTTCTTTTTTTGTTCATCGCTCATGGAAAATATGGACTCGAATTTTGCCAGCTTTTAACCCTGAGTTCCAAATATGTCGATTGTTTGTTGGCCGGTTGCGCGAACTTCAATTTCACAGAGACTACAGTCGCTCACCACTTTAATGTAATAATATACGCACTACCAATTGACAACTGTATTCATTACCACTAATGATTATGTCTGTCAATTTTACCGAGGCTGAAAAATTACGCGCACCAATTAGTGCATATTGTTCAATGAGTTTCACTTTAAATTGTTGCAAATAAAACTTAACAATTTAACAATGTACTGAAATGAACCAATTTTGATTATTTACGTCCATTTTCATCAGTTGCACATGAAATGAAGATTTTTTTGTTGTAATACTTTCCTTCTCTTTCATACACACGCTCCATCGCCTTCGATGTAACGAAAGCAAGAGAGAGGGAGAGAAAAAGTAGATGAAACCAAAATAATACTTTTAAATTGCGAAAGAGAGCTTTTTCCGAGTGCATTTTTCATTTATTGCCATTTTTCATTTGACGCGCGCTAATTAATGGAAGCATTTTATTTTTAAAATATGTTATTTTTTCAATGTGCCCCGATTCATTCGCTGGAAACTGGTATTATTTGGCAAACCACTATACCATGGCATTTATGAATTAAATAAATCCGCTTGCATTTCTATCCGTTTGGCAAACAATTCATTCTCTAGACACAAAAACAGAATACAAAAAACAGCAAGCACTTAACACCACCAAAACCGAATCTATTTAAATATTTACGCTTCTTCAAGCATCTTAATTGCTGACTGTAGACTTGAGCCACTCGATAAAAAATGGATAGAAAAAATCGTTGCAAAACCGAAAGAGAGACAGAAAAAAAGAAAGTGAAATGGACATGACCCAGTGGAATGAAAAGAGAAAGTTGGATAAAAAAGCTTTGGCTTTGGTTGGCGATGCGATTTAACTGTCTGCGGACAAAACCGAATGGTTCATTGAATATTACTTCATCAATAATTTGTGTTCAATCATTTATTTCGTTTCAATGGTTTCCGTTTGGTCAGATATGCAATTGTACGATTTTGATCAGTTGATATTGACGGTAGTCATGAGAGAAAAATGAAAACTGTATATCGATTAATGGCGCTATGAGTATGATCCAAGTTTGTGTTTTGATAGAGACAGAGGGAACGTCAGCTGTAACGAGCATGTCTTGCTCACTGTTGCTACTTATTTCTGTCTTGCTCGATGGGTGCCGGCTTTAACGCCCTCACATGCATACACGGATTTCACACCCGCAAAATTTATATAATCAAAATTATGCCCTCATTCAAAGCATGAATATTTTACACTCGAATTCACAAAGATAATGCTCGATTTACATGCATACACGCATTTTCCACTCGCATAAATGTGAAGCATACACACATGGAGATTGGAGAGAGTATAAACGGGCGCGTATGTGAACACCACGCCGGTAATATTAACTGAATTTGTAAATTCCGTTGTAATTTTTTTTGTTGTTGCTCTTAAATAAGATCTCCTGCCATAAATTACAAAACATTTACTTTCGTATTAGTTGGTTCGATTCAATAGAACTTGCATCCATGTGAGAGAGAGAGAGGATCACGTGTGGATTTCTCCGCTTTGCTCGACATGCTTTCGGTTCACATAGACGCACACAGACCTCGCTTTTTTTCTTCATTTTCTTCAACGTTCAAAAATTAAATTCTCCATTTTCATGTTATCGTTAAACGTGCCGCGTACAAACAAAGATGCTTCAATCAGCACGATTTAAAGTTACCACGTTAAAAACTAATATGCACAATTTTCCTCGTCAATAAAAACCATAAACAATCTACCACTAGATGCATTATAAATTACACCTTACAAAGAAAAATGTTTGCAATGACGGTAAGGCGGCTTATGCAAAAAAAAAAAAAAAAACTTTTCATGTGAGAAATCCCGGGCGCTTATTCGGCATCGTAAAAACTCATTCGACATTCCGCATTTTCCATTTGGTGCGGTTGCTTTTGAAATATTTTCTAGACTTAATTCACATATTATAATAATATTCAGCTTGTTCAACGAATGTATGAGTCACCACGGATGCAAGCATCGTTCGCATCGTCATTGTCGAATGCGTTTCTTTTTCATTTATCACAAAAATTCTCTATTTCTCTACATGCTCTCTTTCAAAAGCACACCGCCCGCCCCCCGCACATGACGATATGTTCGAGCATCGTATACCGTCTTTAATACAAATTTCACTGTAGCATTGAATAATGGTTGGTTTTGTTGTGGCGTGGAACGTGATGTGTTTGCAGAAAAATTGTATTATACGCTTGTTTGTGTCGAATGCCGAACAGGCATAAAACTCGCACACATTTTCTATCTCTCGTATGTGCGGTACGCAATTAATATCTTCATTATCATTAAATTATTATTATTGCTATGATGTTGATGCTGCTCTCTGTATATTTATCCGTCTTTTCTTCGTGTCTCTATCTGTCTCTTTTGCATTGCATACACACAGTACGTTTACTTTATTTTCATGCGATTGAATCAAATAAGATACAAATAATGAGATCATTATGATTATGCTTTTTCAGCGATTTGCTCTTTATCGAAAAACAAAAACCGTACACACAACGAACAAATAAGAGTGAGGTATTTAATTTGTTTGCATTTTGAGCGCAAAAATGGATTTTATCAAGAAAAGGGAACAGAGGAACTAGGATAAAGAGAGAGAGAGAGAGAAACGTGTGGCATTTTTCTGCATTGCTTTGTGATTTTTAGTCTAGTCAAAATGTCGTTTCATGAAAACAAATATCCTTACATTTTCGAAATAAAATAAACCAATATAAATGTGCAGATATGCCTTTTGATGACACCATCATTTAATTTGTATGAACGATTTAAAAGCAACTTTGCAAGAGAGGAAAATTTAGCCGGCAAAATACATAATAATAATAATCATTTACCTGACACGAGAATGTTGTTGTTACTATTCATGTTGTTGTTATTTGAAAATGTCCAGTAATTGATTGATTTCGGATAAGCTTCTGTGCTACAGTGCAACGAAACACTTTGCCCTTCGTAAGCGCCGACTAATTGATTCTGTGCATATATAAATGTAATTTGGTCAATAAATGTATGGGAACTGCGGTTACATAGTGCATATCAAATTGGACCTATCGTACCTGAATCGAGATCATCGGCGAAACTGAAATTTTGAGAAAAAAGACCCAATAAATTGAATAATAAATGTTAAAATTAAATTAAAAAATATCAATCGCTCTCCGATACACCATTCAATTGTCAAATATCTGCGTTCATGGGAGCGATGATTTTATCATTCATATCGATTTCCGTGTGTGATTGATGTGTGAAAATCCTGTTGTGAACCATTGTCAACCAACTTTGACTTCTATATTAATAACTCAATATATATGCAAAGATATAAATGCTTAGCTTTCACCCGCATTTAGTCAAAAAACAACAACAACATCAATTGGATAGAGCGGTGCCGCAAATATCAATCAAATGCACGCGAATAGATATTCGAAGTGGACGCGCGAGCATTCCTACATTTCTATGTGTGTAAGTGTGACCCTTCTTTCGGCTTTCAGGTCACCACCACCATTTTTCATCAATCCAAGTCACAAATAATTTAGCATTCATAGTTTTTGCACACAAACTATTTTCATCATTTCATTTCAATCGGCATGCAATTGCTAGCTCGTTGCTTGATTTTATATTTGAATTTTTATAGTTATGTGAAATGGATATAATACTTTTTGTGTAAAAAAAAAATGTTGTGACAAAATTCCAATCATTTATTCGTTGTTGTATGGTGAACGACTACAAGCCAGCGGCATTAAATCACGCTCGGTTTACCGCCGGCATGTGTTTGAATGTGAATATGTTATGAATTGCACACAGGGACGAACAGGAAATTCGCATATAATTTGTGTGTAAATCCGAAATAATAATTTGAATTAGCCGCTAAACAAATCGGAGAGCGAGTGAGCGCGGCAACGAATCGGGAACAAACAACAAATGCATAATAAATGAATATTTGCCTACTTACAGTGTACAATCAATGTTATTCGTTTACTAACACTCGGCGGCACTAGATATACATTGAAATACATAGAAATATATAGAAATTTCTGTATTATATAAAAATTATGTATTGGCAGTCAATAGTATTCAGCTATGGATATAGCGGCCGCTATTTCATAGGCGCTATTTAAATCGTGTGCTGTGTGCAATCTTTGTTTTCTTCACGTTTTGAGCATTGTTAAGTAGCGCAAATGAAATAGCAGCCGCTATATCCATAGCGGAAAACTATTGGCCAATAATTTCATGAAACTACATACCACCATTGGATGCTATGCATAAATAGCAACCCATCATAGTACGATCAACACGTGGTATGGGCAATATTGGTCCTTCCGCAAATACAACTGTAAAGAAGAGAGAGAACGAATTAAAAATAACCTGTGCAACGTTTCAGCTCATTACGATATCATACAGGCATGACTTCCATACAAAAATTCAATTTTTTTTCTTTTGAAATTTTTGTATGAAAAGTGTGCCGAAAATTATTTGTATCGCAAAACTTATATCATATTCGGTTTTTTCGTGCCAAAAAACCCCCAATACACATTTTTGAGTGTTTAAGAATACATTAAATACCACTTTTGGAAGAAAAATGGAATTTTTCCCATGGATGCCCATTGGCATCACACCAGACATGACTCTATCAACCAAAGTCGCTCAAAATCTAATGGTTTTTTTCGCGACCTCCAATTCCTCGCGACCCCTGATCAGACATTATAAAGAGATACTTTCAGCCAGATGAATCAGCTCAGCCAGATATCGTCAGGAGCTGAAATGGAGTGAAAACAATAAAAGTGATTGTTATAGTGATTATAGCAATGTAAGTGTAATTATAACCATAACAATCACTTCTATTGTTTCCACTCAATTTCAGCTGCTGACGATATCTGGCTGAGCTGATTCATCTGGCTGAAAATATCACATTATAATGTCTGCCCCTGATCATCCTGTGAAGTCAGATTTTAAATTACTTTTCTTGTTTGAAGGTTATCGTGTTGACGAATTTTTGCGTACAGCGTACAAGGTACGCACATACATTCGGACATCGAAAAAACGCTAGATTCGTGTTCCCTGGCCTCAACAAAACATCCAGAAAACACGTTTTTGAGGGGTGTTAATTTTTCGACCGATTCCAATACTTTACCACTAGGTGTGTGCGGTAAGGTAATAGTGAACCAACAAATATTTGCACAGTCCAAATAAAATATGATGCATTTAATTAGCAGTGGTTACGAATTTAATGACCACTGAAAGTGCTTTCCACCCTCGGAATGATTGAACATAGATTTTATAGCACACCATCAACAGAACCTCGTTCATTAATAGATGCATATTTAACTACCAGCTCTATATTTAAAATTAAAAAAAAAACATTCCAAATCACCCATAAAATGTAAAATGAACATCATCATATATATCATTGCAATCACTTTTGATTTGGACTGAAATTCTGAAAGCTTTTCCGTAACTATTTTCTGCATCGTGTAAAAGTTTTATGGCCAAACATTGCAACCCGATTCTTTCGATATATTTATCAAAATACGTATAATGGACCGCTATTGGAAATTCAAATTCATGAATGCTGGGGATAAGTGGATGCATTATAAAGCATCGATATATTTATAAGGCTAAATGTATATAACTTATGGCGATTCAGCATAATTCCTAAGCAGTTTTTTTGTCATTTGCTTAAAAATACATTGGTATTATTTTCGATTGTCTACAAATAACGGAACACGGCCAAAGCAGCAGCTGTAATAAGAAAATATTTCATTACATAAAGAAAAATTGCCGTTGGTGTTGTAACCTTTCCGTAGGGCGTCACCACATAGATGCAAAACACGAAGGATCTGCCGAGGCCGGACATTGCCTTTACAAAATCTTTTCTTTCAATTTTCTTTTCCTTCTCCTTAAATTTTAATGTAAGTTCTTTCCTGTTTTATTTCGGGAAAGCATGTAAATAAATCTGAATTCAATAGGACTTTAATTGCAGTAAACATTAAAATACCTACATGCTCTAACGTTTTCCTAAGCAAATATTTATTTTATGAATTCCATTGTTATCATTATGGGAAGTTTAGTTGATACTTGACTCAAATGCATCCGTTTTCGAAAGTATTTATCCCACTTGCAGATTAAAATCACAAGTGTAATTTTCGAATGCATTTCTATGAGCTAACAGAATTTATTTGAATCGAATATAGATTTATGTTTTATCCGATATTTAAGGATGTCCATTAGTCTGTTTGTTGCATCAAAACAAAAAAAAAGCTCAACTGGAGATTCCGTTGAAAAGCCGTGAAAAGCAGTCGGTCTCATTCTTAATGGCGTTTCAAATATTCTTTGGTTCATTTCAAAAATCGATACTCCATGTATAATGATAACGACCTACATGAAGAACGGTACAGTAATAATAATAATCACACACAAAAACACAGTGAAAAGACATTTATATTCAGTCTTGCATTGGAAAATGCTACGTTTATGTTTACATTTCGCATGTAAATTTGAATATATTGTATATAAAACATAGTGAGAAGTCGACGTTCGTGTACCATATTATACGATTATATTGTGATATTTATAATTTTGTTTGTGAAGAAACTGGCACTCTCGCCCTTCATTTTATTTTTTTTCTTTCTTTCTCCATCGCGATCATTTTGTCGTTGAAAATTGGGGTGAAATGAAAATAAAACAAAATTTCATACTTCATGAAATGAGCAAATGGCTGGGAAAAAGACAATTGCATACAAAATGCAAAATATTAGCAAATGGTCGATTTATAATCAGTTGTAATGGAAAATTCGCGTGTTGAATTTACCGAAATAAAAAAAATATTCAAATATTTTTCTGCTATTTTTTTATATTATTAATATATTAGTGCCTTTATTGATGCAATGAAAACAATTTGTTTGCAAACGGCAGCGGACGTGTCGCCATCAAAGCAGCTGACAATCGGTTCAATACAGTCTCGGCACATAAAATGAGACAATACTCAATTCAAGGGTGGAACACGATGGCGGAATAAAAAAAAGTTTTAATTTCATTCTTTTCCATAGACACATTTAACACACGTTATTTTTCCCAGGGCTGATGAATGTACTCTCCCCGTTCATTGTTTTTTTTTTCGCTCTTCTACTTCTTATCTTGTTTGTGCAGTTTTTTTTCTTCTTTTTTTCTCTACACATTTGCATTGAATTTAATGGTTGCAACTGCAGCTGTATATTTTGATTGCAATTTACTCGTATTTTCACATGGAATATTTGAAGAAAGGGAGATTTTTATTATTTGCTTAGTGTTCTAGAGGCTACTTTATGGATTTTACTCCGAGTAAATTACTCAAGAGAATTTTCATTATGCTGGGATTTGGTCAATTGAAAAATAAAACTATTTGTGGTCTTTTTACAAAATTTTTAGTTCCCATGCGTCGCATAGTATACCATTTCAGTGAAAATGGAACATATTTAATGACACAGTTCAAGCAAAAAAAGAAATTACAAGGAAATGTCCTAAATCAACGAAAGAAAAATGTCTCCATTTGAACTGTTCTGATGAATTGGTTTGCTAGCGCCATAAAAGTGCCTAAGAATGTATTTTCTGAAATTCCAAAAATTGATAACAATAAACAAAATCGTCTAACAAATTGAATTTCAATGTAGTGTGTATGTTTCATGCGATTCCGCGTTACAAACCATACCAATTTGGTTTGTTTTAGGCTAATTTAGCGTTGCAGACTAGTAATAGTCGCACGTGGTACTGGTGTATATGTACGGTGTTTTACTGTTCGTGCTGCAAATAATTTGTACATTGTGTGTGCACACGATTTACGATTTTGTTTGTTCGGTGTCATTTATTTCTTTTTTTTTCTTCTTCTTCACTAGAATTCGATTAATTTTGTTTGTTTTGGCACGCTCTTTTACGCACGTCAACAAACCGTATATTATTGGACTGTCATGGTCGTTATTTTCCACTTCTATTTTTGGCTTATTCAAACGAACGAAATGAAAACATCGAGATTCATTCGATAAATCAAAATGATTCACAATCTGCATTATGAGTGCGGTTGACACAAGGCAGTTAATGAGTAAGACGCAAAATACGTTTAGTATTGTTGACGATTGAAAATACAAAAACGAAGCATGGAAATTGCATGTAGATCCCGAAGATAGTTATTATTATGCAAAAGCATTAATCAAATATAAGGTGAGAAAGAAGGAATGAGATGTGACCATGTATTGTTGTTAAACATTTTTTCTGACTATTCTCGAATGAACTTTCACTTTTTATTGGCGCAAATGAATGATGAATACATGCAAATTTTCTAAATTGTGACATTCGCAGATTGTACCGCATTGATGGTCTCAATTTCAAATTGATTTGCTATAAATGTACCATTGAGCGATTTGCTGCGAAAAACGTACACTTTTTTGGCATTTACATCAAACAAATTAGATGAAATTTATGTTCATGCTTCACTTCATCGTTTGCATTAATAATAGATATTGGTTTTGCACGTTTTAGTGGTATACCAGCGAATGTGATATGTGCTAATTTCGAAGGTTTCAAAATTAAATTGGAAGTGCGAATCGTGAACGCGTGTATGAGTATCATAAAACGTCCTAAGCAAATATTGATGCAAGATTTTATCACTTTTCGATACGCATAAAAATGAAATGGATAACAACCATACCGAAAAATAAAACACATCAAGCGTATATTTGTGGTCGATTCAAAGCCACGTCAATAGGTCAGTGTGAGCAATCAATAAAAACAGATACTAATCGGTTGGTTGGTCGGTTTCTGCAATAGACATTATTATTACGATCAAAGTGGTGGTCTGCCATGAATTTTAATGGTGTGAAGAAAATAAACACGCATAAAACAAGCCGAAGAGAAGAGAAAATGCCATTAAATCCATTTGCGCGATTTGGATTGTATGGGATGCGTAAAATGCCGACATGGCTATTTCATGCAATAATAACTAGGATAATTAGGATTGAGATTGTGTATAATTATTTTGCTTTACATTAGATTCAATTTACGAAATGTAAGCTTCACATGTATTTATCTTTTTTCAATGATAAAAAAAAAACTGAAAAAAAAACGAAATTTTGTTCACGTTCAAAGTCTTCAAAAATTATTATTTCATGCATTATTCCAAAGGTTTTCTCAAGTAATTGCAATAAAATATCAGTCTGTAGAGAGGGAAAAATTCTGCATTGACAAGCGAGAAATACTGAATACAATTTCTCTGCGAGTATTCCATTGTACAATAGCTACAAAAGCCGCTCTTAAATCAATACAATAACAAATGTTTCTTGTAAATTGTTATGCCGACGGTTTGCTTCGATTCGATTTTGTTTGCGTCTACGATATCTTGTGGTGTTTTTGAATTATGGCCGACCTAATTTGCTGTTTCAGTCGACAAAGAAGTGAAAACTACAAAACATTGGCTTTAATAGTAAAAATACACTGAAGAAAGCGATGAATGGCGGGTGCAATGTGCACGTTGACGACGAATAACGATGAGCCGGCAAAAAATTGTTTGAAGAAATAACATAAAAAATAAACAGAAATTCCCAGAGTATCGTGTCCGTTTCCACTATTCCAAATGAAAAGAACGGACTCTTGCTCATATTCGTTGAACTCGTCAATATTTTATTTATTGGTACGGTTTATTCGGTGTCATGGAAAACGCTCTCATAAACTTACCTGCTGGATGGTTGGCTGTGGGTCCTTCTCGTTTCCACGTTATGTTTGGCTTCGGCGAACCTGTACTCCCAACGGTGCAACAAACAGGCCGACACACAGACGAAAAATAAACAGAAGAAGAAGAAAAAAACGGGAAATTATTTGTATCTGAACTTTTATTGGCGCCGAAAAGTGATAAATTATTAAAAAAAAAAAAATTGTAGTCTTCAAGTTCGTTTACCAACCTTTTGCTTCGCATATCAACGTAATATTACTGTTCTCATTAACGACCATATCGGTTGACGTCGGAAAATCCAGAATGTCGGGGGGCACTAAACATTTGTGTATTTGAATTTTAAAAAATAGAAACTGATACATTTTTATCGAACAAAGTATATACACATATGCAAACAAACGTGCCGCTCTACACACATATATTTTCACAAATGTACATATGCAAGCAAGCGCGTACGTAGACATGGGATAGAGTGGCATTTCGCAAAAACTGAACCGATGGAATTGTAATGTATTGGAATCGAAACACGCCCGATGGATCATTATAGTCCATTGGTGATTACCAACTTGTACATTATTTAACAGATTGTGGTTAATCGATTTCACTGAATAATTTATCCGGCTCGATTTCAATTTTGACATCCATGTGGTTTTTGCACAGACATTGTGGTGCTACAACGTTTTATTTTTATTTTTATTTTTTCTCTACAATGTCACTTTCTGTGCTGCTATTTCTGGTCTCCAATTAGATCAATCGAAAGTTTCCATTAAATTTCAAAAATACAAAATTCAATTGACTCGCGATTTTTTATTTGTCAAACTGATAAATTTATTGAAAATCGTTCGATTCCACACTACGTGTGATTGAGGAAAATTGCGAATTAGCTGTTCTGTAGTGTGTAAACATTGTATGTAGACCTTATGGATTGCATTCTGTGTAAGGCCATAAAATAATGATGATTTGTTAGCAAAATGAATTATTTTTGAATCAGATTTTGTGTGTAGACACAGCGTGTTAGTGTAGATCAAAGGGTTAAACAATGGCGTTGGCCAGAATGTTGATTCTGACTTGGTTGTGCAAATGTATGAGAATGAAATTGTGCATGGATAGCGAAGAGAGACGAAGACCAAGCTATGTGTGTGTGTAAATATTTCTGAGACAAAACCGCTTACCTCATGTACTTTGCATACACACATTTACACAATATTCTCATGTTGAAACACGAATCACCGCATATCATAAAGTAATTTCGAGAAAATCCTTTTGCTAAGTTCCGTTCCCTGCACGTACCAAGAGTCGAAAATTATTAGACGTATATTATGCTACATTTTCATCGTGAAAAGCAGAGCAGGAAGTAACGGAAAGTCTGAATAAGACAAATCGGAAGTGGTTTGCTATAAAATCACCCCGATAGATGCATAATATAGGATGGCACCGAGAGAAAGAGAAAGAAAGACAGCACAGACTCAATTTTCAGTGTGTACCAATTCATAGGTCGGGATTTTTCGAGATTTAAAACGCACTTGAAGGCGATACATATTTCGATGTATCATCACATTTTCAAGCCTCGACATTGTTTACGACAATCGTGTGAAAACAATAACAACACAAAAAGACCATAAAACAAGTCTTGTCCATTTTCAAAGCGTCGAGGTTTTATGCCACGTACACCAAGTTTTTGATGCCAATAGATGACTGCAGTTTGTACTCTGACTTTTCCATAGAAATATATGCAAATGCATATTCTCTTTCCCCTTTTCACTTTCTCTGTCTCGTCTGTTCATTTCGTTGTTCACATTCGTATGGTTAACATATTTGCTGCATGTTTGCATTCATCCTTCCACATTACCTTGTGGTCTTAATGATATCATCGGTTTTTGCTGGCCCGCTTTTTACAAACCAGCAGTCGTTGAGCAATCTCTTTCTGTCTTCCTCTCTCTTTTTCATTCGGTTTGTCCTTTTCAGTACCATTCTCGTGTAAAACCGCTTGGAAAATGAAACAAAAAGCAGCAAAAATCGTAATAAAAATTAAATAAAATAGCTTCACATGGGAGTGAGAGAGGAAGAGCAATAGCAAGAGACTTTCGAATGTCAGTGTATTCATAATATGCATTAAATTTCATTGAAACAAGCCCGAAACATATTATACCGTAACGGACATCCTTTCTTGCCATTTTTTCCAAACCATTTTTCTCTGGCTTTCTTTGAGCACTCATTCTCCTTGGTTCATCGTTTTCGCCCGTGAAATATTTATTAACATAAATTCCATTAGCTGTAGGACGCAATTCACAGGTAAACATCAGGACCGAATAGTATATTTTCGCAATACAAACGCAAATTGAGTCGTCTATTTAACGCCAAACACTGTTACTTGCATATATATACTTCACCATTCATATAGTCATATAAATATAATTCAGTCTATGTAACTGTATCTTTTGCATTTTAAGCAGTTTTCCCATTTCCGTGCGCTACTCTGACTGTTATATTTTGATAAACAGTGCCGCTTGTGTTGCACTTCGCTTTTTTTGCGAATTAATTTTATCGCAAATTAATAATAATAATAACAATTGAGGTGGAAAATAAGCATGCACGCTGATGAGCGGATTTGCATTTTTTTTCATCGCCCATAATCCGAACTTAAAAATTCTTATTTCCAAACTACAATCAACTGCGGCAATAACAAATCGTGCGGAGATCATTCATACTAAAGATACACTTTGGACAAATTTCTGGCGTCGATGATAAACGGCAAAATTTCGTTTCGCGTAATTTGCTTAATTTGAATTGCACGAACGATTTACCGGCGTAGTACTTTGGATTAATCAAAGTTGATATCGTTGAAGGTATGTTATAGTTTAAATTCACATTATTTATGGATGCTAAATAATACCGGCAAATAATATGGTGTTCGTGAGCAGGCATTTCACGATCAAAAATGACAAATTATTTCATTGTAAAGAAGAAGGAAATACATATAATACCGGCATTATGATTAAATCGCAACATAAATCGATAAATTTCTATAATTTTAGTGATAAAAACCTGCACAGCATTAAGATACAGGCGAGCTGGGCATTCAAATGCATTGACGGTAGCAAGAAAAAAATGGAAAAAATAAACTAAGTACCGAATTATTGAAGAAATGAAAGTTGTTGACGCGATTTTCACAATCAGAGAAACTTTATTACTTTTTCCACAGTGTTTGTTGCAAAATACAACCAAAACCAGATAGAAAATAACGAGAACAACAACGATCAAATTGCGCTTTAACATTTTACTTGCAATTGCATGTTTTGCCGAAATTACGAATTTTCCATTTCATTCATCGTTCATCCGCCGTGCACAACATGACACAGTCTGTTTAACTGGGCGAAGAGAAGACATGGTGCACACGGTACAGCACACATACACACATTAAAATGCTTCCCTCAACTAACGGCGATATCCCACTGTAAATCCGTTTAAAAATATTGCACGTGACAGTAATTGTGGCAGTGGTATAAATGAACATCAAAATATCGCAATTGAAATGGAAACTGCATAAAAAGTGTTTGAGGCATGGGGCGGGCGACAAACGATATATACAGCACTGAAATGCGCGAGTGTTTTATTGTCGAGTTATTTTACCGTTGTTGTTGTACATGTGTCTTTCTCTCTGTCGGTTTCTTTCATTTTTCACTCTTTGCTCTCTCTCTCTCTTTCGGTGAGTACGTGCAGCGGTAAGTGTATTGAATAAAATATAACTACAATTGCAATTACTGTCCAAGAGAACGGAGAGTTGTCGGCTTATCCGTGAAAGTACCCGTTCCACGATAACAATAATAACAAACATTTACTCGATAAAATATGGTGACAAAATGTAATTCATTATCATATAATTGAATTTGTTTAATATCCATTTTGCTTTTTGTTTGTCTATTTACTTAAGTCCGCTGTTTGTTGTGTTTGGTTTGCTGTTTTGTTGGTTGTCATCGAACACGATGTTGGTCGAGAACGTCGTCACCCGCGGTTTCTTGCTGTGCACACAAACCGTCTCCAGCTGTGATATCCATCCGTATTTAGTACCTTGAATGAATTGTACTCAACGTCGTTTTTTCACCATAGCCTTTTATGGACGTTGTCGAGACATCAATGTTCACTGTGTTCTACCTTTTTTCTCATTGCTCAAACCGAGAAAAACTCCAACAAACCGATTGAATCAAACAAACCGGTTGAAAAACTGCACAGCTCAAACTAATAAACTGCTTCATTGTATTTTACGGAAAGAATCACTGCACCAAAAATACATATACACAAACACATCTATTTTATTTAACGGAAATGTTTTGCAGGGTAATTTGTTATTTGTCTGCGTTTGTTTATTATCGGATGGCTGCTTGTCACTAACAACAGTGTTTCATCGGCTCTGCAAATACCTTTGCCACATTCAGTTACAACTTTTGATTCGCCAACAAATGAACAGAAAAAAAACAGAAGAATCAAACAAATAAAACTCCATTTAAAATGCATCCATCATTCGATTTTTTGTCTCGTTGTCCGTTTTCGTTTCTATTTTATAATCAAACTATAAATATATCGAACGAAAAATATACTTAAAAATGTTCGCTTTACAATCAATGGGATATTTATACACCGGTATGGTATCGATTTTTATATCATCGAGGAGGAATATATTTTTTAATATTTCAAGTGTATTAATAATTGAGTTGCAATTTTTACTGTGATTGCATTAAATCGATTTGCTTCACTCGCTATTTCCGTATCAATATAATTGAGTGATCGCTTTTTCTTTAATGATTCGTTTGTAAAACTAATTCCATTTATTTATTATATTGCTGATATTTACTAATCGCAAATCGAAAGAAGAAAATGCAACAGCAAGAATGCACAACATACACAGACATAGACACACACACAAAAACGTAATGGTACAAATATAAATGGAAAAACTGTCTCACGTTTTTGAGGACAATTATTATTTAAATTATAAATATTAATGCTTCCAAGTGGTCAGAACGAATGGGACCAGGGCTAATTTCAGCTCATGCCATTCTATTCAAGCATTTGGTTTGAATTTGTATTATCGTATTTTATGGCTACCATATATAATGTATGTTGTCCAAGATGGTAAGTACTTGTACCAATATATTTTTCTCTGTGTAGAAAATAACTTTTAAGGAAAAAAGAAATCTTTTTTCTTCGCCACTCTCTCTCTGTCCATGCATTTCATATTTCTTCTTCGCTTGCGATTGAGTAAAACATTCAGTTTATTCTTGAAGTACACAGTTTTTACAGTGATTTTTATGTAATATAATATGTTTCAGAGAACTAATAACGATAAAGGGTAGCACAAGGGAATGACCATGGATTTTATTTGCTCCATTGTCTATCACACTACAGAGATACAAGTCAATATTGATTAGTCATATTAGTCTACCAGAATTTTCAATGCACTGCTTGCAATCAGTTTTTGCCAAATGACACAGATTCCATGTAAAGTTGCATCAAACGGGTCATGATTTGTTAATGAATTTTTAAATGTTCAAAGCAAAAGAATCGCAATAAAAATACACACTTACCTACAACATTGAGAAATCCCTGTTGTGACTTCATCGGGTCAGTGTTCATCTGGCACTAAAGCAAAAAAATAGAGGAACGGAGATTTTTGGTGTTTGACTTCAATAATGTTCTCTTGATTGTTATTTACCATATAAAATCCACGATCTGTTTCTCGAATATCTTTAATTTTCAATTGCCAAGTCTTATGCTCTGAGTGCAATATGCTGATGCGATGATTTTTTGTGATCACATGATTTTGAATTGTCAATATCGTTTGAGTGTCGACCCTCAGCCATGCTAGAATACAGATTTTCGTTGATTCAAATGCAAGAAAAAAATTTAGCTCAAATCGAATGGCATAGTTTTTGGGAGAACACCTTTTCGAATACCTGATACCTACCCACCTGGAATGAGAAATTATAGATAATGATAAGTGATGGTTTTCGAATCAAAAATTGAGTTGAAATATGCATAACGAAAATTCATTATCTGGTCCAAACATTGTATCAAAGTTGGCGAATAGACTCGGTTAATAAAAGTTATTTGACTTGGGAAAATATATTTCGATAAATGAAAAAACCCTCCTCGAATGTAATATTGTCGAATAATCAATCACAAAATTTGTTTACATTTTTCCAATTTTGCGAGAGAGAAAAATCGTAAACGGATTTTAACATAATTCAAACGAATCTGGACCGTTTTCACTGTAATTTCTCGTTATCTTCGTTGATACAATTGGTGTTTTGTCAATGCTGAAAGGAGACCTTTTCCACACGCACACACATTAAATGATTTTAATGAGTGCGCCGCTTTTGTAAAATAATAAACACATCTAATTATCGCACTCTCGGTCGCACACTCCACTGAAACCATAAACGCAAATCGGTATGAATAATTAGGACTGATGTGTAAACGATATACCAAACGAAGCGTATAAAATAAGGGTGAATTTTTGATTAGAATGAGTTTACTCTCGCCCTTTCTGGCTTCACTTTAAACCGCTTTTCATATATGAGATTTTCACGATGAAAAAGAGTGTGAGAGATTGAAACCGAATGTGATGTGCTTTTGGGGATATCATCACAACAATAAAATGAATTTGTTCCGCACTAAAGACAATGTGAGAAACGACCGTGTGCAATTCTATGTGAACGTAAATTTTAAAATATCGAACATGGTCGGATTCAAGATGATTCAATTCGGTAACCTTGGCGACGATAGAGACTCGAAAATTGAATTTAAAACTTGTAATAATTTAAGTGAATTTGAAATGGGCTTTCACTCTCGGTTTCCTCGGGATGTGTGCATTGAACAAAATTTGTCGATTGAAATCAAATTGTGTGCATATGTGTGTCGTATCGTGTCGACACCAAATGCAAATATTTCAAAGCAGTTTATGTTTAACAATCAATTTGAGAAAACTTACTTTGTATTGACCCAAATCCTCAACAGTGCATGTGAGGATGGCATCACGTCCAACGGCAACAGTGGCATTCAGAATTGGCCCACTAAACTTTGGATCAGCTGAAAACAATGAAACGACAAAAGTTTTAAAAGTTGATTAAATGGTTTTCGATTTCAAAACCCCTAATCGCTTTCACTCTATATATAAATCAATCTGTTTGGCAAACATACACTCAAACACAATTGGCTACATTCAAACTTAACTAGTGATAACGAATCAAAAACAGTTTAATTGAAATCAGTGAAGTAAAATGAAAAAGAAGTGGCAGAGGTAAAATAATTCAGAAAAAATGGCCCCGATCCAGTTCGGATTCAAGTGAAAACAAATTCAGTTAGAATGTTGATTGCAGCAAAAGTTTTACGAAAATTGAATTGATTAGGTTGCTTTAAGTGCATCAAAACCATTGCCGTCCTCCATTAAAGAGAAAAGTCCGAGTTTTTCGATTCTGCCCGTTACACACATTGGCTGATGAAGGAATCATTTGCTGCTATTTACTTGCTGCTGCAAAAACTTAAAAAACTTTTTAGCATTCGTATGTTCGTACATTGATGTTATATTTATTGAAATCCAACAGCAGCAAATCATAAGCGAAACTAGAAATGAAAGAAGATGAAGAAAAAAAACTGGGCCGACCCCTTTTCGCTGAAGAAGAACTATTTCTATTTTCTAATTGACTAGACGATGTTCATCAACTGGTTTTATTTTTCATGGAGAGAGAATAATTTGCTTATAAACTTTTGCATTGCACTTCTTCGACACAGTTCAGAAAAAGGAATTACGACAACCCCAATACATGACTCGGGTAACAGTCAGGAAATACGACGAAAAAAGAATATAACAAATTGGTATATTTTTCTTTCTGCATCGAAACTTTGTCGATTTCTGCTTAAACTAATAAGTCAAGGCGAAACAAGTCTTGTTTTTTTACGTTTACCAATGCAACAAGATGTGGGCCTGCTAGTCGCGGAACGCGCGCATCAAGCACAAATTGAAAATGAACCATGGATTTTTTTTCCTAACTCCTGACAAACTCATGTACATGAAATCGAATTCGAAGAATTTTTTTAAAGCTTATTTTTCAAGTTACACATGTTTCATGCAAGCCACCGAGCGCATGTTATTTTTTGTCTGTCCGCTGCATTTCACTTGACTATGAGAATTTATAGCCATTTTTTTGGCCATAAAACTCGAATATATAAAGCTAATCAACTGAACATTACTCACATAAAATTGGCAACATTTACGATCACTTGGAATATTTAGCTGTTGTTTCTTTTTCTCTCTTCGAAAAATTTCCACCATTTCTTTTTACCATTGCAAACCACAAATGGTAAATTTCTCATGCTTTGGCAATTTAAAGTTTCGAATGGACAGACGAATGTATGAATGAACGAAGAGAAAATTACGTTCATTTTAACGAGAAAGATGACCAACTTAATGGCCATTATGAAAATACCACTACATGAAATGATGAAACAACGATAAAATACACACAAAAAATTAATCGAATTTCAATGAGAACTGCTTCAAAAACCATACCAAAAATGTGGTAAATGTTATGTCATGTCATTAAACATGACTAAATGAGCATTAAAAAATATGCTTTTTTGATCATTTGACCGTCATCTATTTGACTACGCAAACCAAAAAGCCATCGGATTTTTTCAAGCACAAGATTAACCGGCTTTCAAAACTACAAATGCGAGTATTTTCTTTGACTGTATGTATCCCATGAGATCCTATAATCTATTGTCATATGAATGACATCATCTCTCTTTAGACGAACAGTCTTAATTTGACATTTTCCATTGAAATCTTTAGTTTGAATATTTCTTTATGGTTGAAACATAATACACTTTAGTTGTAGTTGTCATTTAACAAAATGTTTGATTGAAAAATCATATTTACACTCAACACACACCCAAATTTAATTTAACAGCGACAGTTTGTTGCAACATATCTTACCGGTTGAAATGGGATTTGTTTGCAACGGTGGTAACAGTGAATAATGATTCAAATTTAAGTTTCAAACAGCAATTAGCAATTATTATGCCAATAATGCAATCACAATGTGACCAACTAATGTAAGCATATGTTGATCTAGAAATTGTTGTCTTCATGTGAACATGCACCACGTGTCCATATAGTTTCTTCATTCAATCATGCAATATTATTGCTTTGGAAAAACCCTGAACTGCATACAAAACATGTCACATTCAATCATCGAATTTAAACAGAATGTCTGAAATGTTTGAATGGCTGGTGCATTTTGGGTGAATTGAATTGAAACCAAAGAATCGATTTAACAACCGTACACAATTGACCGTATTTATCAAATAATTTTACCTATTGATATTTGAATTTCATATCGACTTGCTTTGTTTGATGCCGGCATTGTTTGCGCTATAGTGCTTGGCTGCATATATGGGCATAAACATGAGCATATACATTGTATATAAGTGTGTGTGCATTTGTGCAGTGTGCATGTACAATATGTCCATATGCACAATTGTAATGGTTTTGTCGATTGTTGACCAACTTCCAGAATTTTAAATAGAATATTGGATTTGAATTCTTCACATATTTACCATAAGAACCAAAAAACCGAGAGAGAGAGGGAGAGAGAGAGAGAGATTGAAGAGAAAGAAGAGAGGATGGGAAAATATCAATAGGAAAAAAACGATGTCCGAGAAGTAAACATGTATGTTTACGTTCGAATGAGAAACCATAAGTTGCATTGTGTGTATTTCTGTATTCGGTGTATTGATGCTGCATAATATTATCAAATTGATCGTGAATTCATGTCAATGGTCATATTGGTTCGCAAGAAATACACAATTTACCAAAATTTATTTGCCAACTATTTCTTTTGGTCGTCGTTCATTTATGAGAATTGTCGAATTTGTCGGACAATTTCTTTTGCTGTATTTTTATTTTTATTTTTCTCTTTAACATTCCGTAATTTATAAATATAAGAGGTCGATGTGTTGTTATCGCCTTCATTTATGTTGATGTGTATATTTGCATTGAACAAACGCAATCGAATGCGAATCGATTTTGAAGGATAGTTAATCAGCGTATTCAATGTGTTCGATCTAAAATGTAAATAGGTTCTAGCATGCCTAATTACAAGCTCTAGTTTGGATTTTGTGCATTCGGCTCTAATTACATTCACGTTGAATAAATGTTACTAATTAAAGCACCGAAGCTGAATGGAGCTGGCTCAAAATCGCAATATCTAAACATGTCATTCCGTATTTGTTTATGTTTGTAATTTTCAATTCTCGCATGAAAATCGACAAAGGAATTTCAATCGATGCAGTCAATTTTACAATGGTCAGCTTCATTAGATTGTTTGTGTGCATATAACTATGTGACAAAGCTTAAATGTCGACTTTATTGTTCAGTAAAAATACACACACACGCACGCGCACACACACAAACATGCTCGGCTCTTTTGCCAATAAACAAAATGCAAAAACCATCAATCGCCGTTGGATACAATGCAATCGAATTTGAATTTGATTTTCGTTTCACGAACTGACGCCCCAATGCCAATGAAACTATAAAGCCCAAACTGAAATGACACGCAATCACGCGTTCAATATTTTTGCACGTATAAATAGCGGTTTCGGTATCAACAAATGAAATAAATAACGGCACACCAGAATTTAAAGCAGTTTGACATCGGATCAAACCGTATACGATTGAAACGAATCAATTGGATTTACGTGTGTTTTGCAGCAGATATTGCCGAAAGACAATGCATTGCATCAGTTGATTTCACTTGATTTGATGGAGAAATGAAAAGATTTTCGGTTACACACATATTCTAATATCGAACAAATGCTATTTATATTCTCTCTTTCTCTCTTGTTTGCTTTTACTCTGACATAGATACATTTAAATAACATCGAAATAGCATTGGTTTTGATCAAATGAATGTGTGCACAACGCACAAACAATCTTTGTGAGTGTAATCAATCAATTCGACGGGAGACTTGAACATGAATTCCCCAAATTATTAGGCAACAGAGCGCAATTTAAGCGAAAACCACGATAATATATAGACAAATCATGTTCATATGAACTTACTGACAATAATGCAATTTTCGAATGTAAAATATATTTTGAGAAAAGGGGGTCTGGCCGTCATTTTATTTATCGTTTTCAGAAGGCTGCTGTTTCGAAAAAACATGGTTTCGTGATTTTTTATTTAATTTTTCTGAAAATATATGGAAAAAGGTGTCGAATTTATGTGCCATTACAATTGTATATAAACATGCCAACAAACGGAAATGCAAAATTTTTGAAAGTAGTAAACTAATTTAACGGCTAAAAATGATTGAAATTCGTCGAATAAACAAAACGAATTTCGATAAAATGTCGTTTCATGTGACACGCAAATTGAAAATAAATTACAGCACGCATTCATTAAGGTTGAAAATGAAATGCAAGAGAATGAGCAGCCCCTATTCGATTTGGAGTAGGCTCTTTTACGCTTCAACTATCTCAATAAAAGTATTTCGAATGCGAGTATCAATCTATCTGGATGAATATTCTTCCATCGAATGATTTCTCATCTTTGACACTTCATGGTTTCGTGTATACGTGCATTGATAATATTCCCATAAGTACTTGGATGCTTCTTAAAATGCTTAACGTATATGTCTAACAAACATTTCGAATTTGACTACGACTTTTCAGTTGTATTTTTGTGGGTCTGACATAAGTTTCATTGGGGCAGAAGTTCAGGTAAACACTGGTCAAAGTTGTAATGGTATTCAATGTGATACCTCAAGTATTTTAAGGATCTATTAAAAGTTTGGAAACTTTTGCAAAGCATTCGATCAATTAGGAAGTGCAGTCGTGTATCAGACACTGGATCCAAGTAATTATCGATCGTAGTGTTTGATCGAAGTTTGCTTTTTTTTCATCTTCTTCGTTTACTTGTATTCTTTGAGCGTGTCCGCAAACATCCACCCAGAGTATCGTTCAGTTCAGTACAATTCGAGCCAAAAACTTATCTAATCTCTCATCTGAAAATAATACTCCAGAG